AACCCATTGCTTCACCAGGGGCACCAGAAGGCAGGCTTCTCATACGTCCCTGCATGGGGAGCTGGAGCTGACAGAGGGAGCTCAACTGCACTGTCCCTGGATTCGAACCCTCAACCTGTCAGTCTTCAGTCTGAAACATAAACTTGCAATGTTACATACAAAAAACAAACAGTTCAAGAAACTTACATAGTCCTTGTAACACCAAGGCATCTTCATCTTAAATCAAATGAGAGCAAAAATAAACCTTGAGTAAATACCTGATCCACCATAGCCTCCTTCAGAGTAGCTTCTCCATGTTGCTCCCCAGAGCAAAGCCTTTGGGCATAGGTCTCCTCTGAGAAAAAGCTCTCCAACACCAACACCCACGCTGTATTCTAAAAACCCCATACAGATATTCCCCATTGAGTGTAGTTCAAGCTTGCTAGTTGACCTACATTATGAATGGCTTCCTGAGTTAATACATACAACACAATAGCCCACTTGTACACAGAAAGAAAACTAAATCAATTCAGCCAATAATGGGACTGTTGAAACTTATTATACAGTTCCAAATCATAGCATTCACAAAACAATATTATATGTGTTTGGTACAGTCACTCAAAATAGTATCAACGCTGTATGTTCTTGCATTGAGTTGAACTTAAATCCGTAGTCCACGACCAGTTTCGGCCTCACTCCAGGCCTTCCTCTGGTGGACTAAAATTATGTATCAATATTTAAAGATTATAAACTTGGTACTTGTTCGCCTTAGAAATATAGGTTTTTATGTTTAGTGGGATAAGATATTCTGCTCTGTGTTTGATTCTAATTGCGAGTAGAGATATACCCATGCAGATATACCCCATTGGGTGTAGTTCAAGCTTGCTAGTTGACCTACATTACCAGCTGTACATAAGGTTTTGCTTCAACTCACACACAATTGGTCCTGCTTTCACCTAGCGCAACATTCCTTGTTCTTGCACTTCTTGTTGATGTTTCTTATTGGTTGACCTACATTACCAGCTGTACATAAGGTTTTGCTTCAACACACACACACACTTGGTCCTGCTTTGATTTAGCGCAACATCCCTCGTTCTAGCACTTCTTATTGGTGTTTCTTATTGGTTGACCTACATTACCAGCTGCACATAAGGTTTTGCTTCAACACACACACACAATTGGTCCTGCTTTGACTTAGCGCAACATCCCTCGTTCTAGCACTTCTTATTGATGTTTCTTATTGGTTGACCTACATTACCAGCTGCACATAAGGTTTTGCTTCAACACACACACACAATTGGTCCTGCTTTGACTTAGCGCAACATCCTTCGTTCTAGCACTTCTTGTTGGTGTTTCTTATTGGTTGACCTACATTACCAGCTGTACATGAGGTTTTGCTTCAACACACACACACAATTGGTCCTCCTTTGACTTAGCGCAACATCCCTCGCTCTTGTACTTCTTGTTGGTGTTTCTTATTGGTTGACCTACATTACCAGCTGTACATAAGGTTTTGCTTCAACACACACACAATTGGTCCTGCTTTGACTTAGCGCAACATCCCTCGTTCTTGCACTTCTTGTTGGTGTTTCTTATTGGTTGACCTACATTACCAGCTGTACATAAGGTTTTGCTTCAACACACACACACACTTGGTCCTGCTTTGACTTAGCGCAACATCTCTCGTTCTAGCACTTCTTATTTATTTACTTATATACCGCTGTTCTCAGCCCGAAGGCGACTCACAGTGGTTCACAACAAATACGAACAGCAAAAATTCAGTGCTACAGTATAGAAACAGTTAACAACCTAACACATTACACAATTAATAAACAGTTACTACAATACCCATTCACTGTCGTCACGTCATCAAAAACATGTTCCAGATTCGTCATCCATTGTTCCATTCCAGTGTTCATTAACCAATCATTGCACTAATTATTGGAACGCCTGCTCAAACAGCCAGGTCTTCACTTTTTTGCGGAATACCATTAGAGATGGTGCTAGTCTAATGTCCGTAGGAAGGGCGTTCCACAGCCGAGGAGCCACCACCGAGAAGGCCCTATCTCTCATCCCCGCCAGCCGTGCTTGAGAAGCAGGCGGGATTGAGAGCAGGGCCTCCCCGGAAGATCTCAAAGTCCTGGTGGGTTCATAGGCAGAGATGCGATTGGATAGGTAGCTTGGGCCGGAATGTTTAGGGCTTTAAAGGCCAACGCCAGCACTTTGAATTGAGCCCGGTAACAAATCAGTAGCCAGTGGAGTTGGCGCAACAGGGGGGTTGTATGCTCCTTGCGCTCCGCTCCTGTTAAAATCATGGCTGCCGAGCGTTGGACTAGTTGGAACTTCTGAGCCGTCTTCAAAGGCAACCCCACGTAGAGAGCGTTGCAGTAGTCTAAACGGGATGTAACCAGAGCATGGACTACCGTGGCCAAGTCAGACTTCCCAAGGTACGGCGCAGCTGGCGCACAAGCTTTAGCTGTGCAAATGCTCCCCTGGTCACCGCTGAAACCTGGGGTTCCAGGCTCAGCGATGAGTCCAGGGTCACACCCAAGCTGCGAACCTGCGTCTTCAGGGGGAGTGGGCCCCATCCAACACAGGCTGTAACCCTATGCCCTGTTCGGCCTTGCGACTGACCAGGAGTACCTCTGTCTTGTCTGGATTCAATTTCAATTTGTTCGCCCTCATCCAGACCGTCACAGCGGCCAAGCACCGGTTCAGGACCTGGACAGCCTCCTTAGTAGCAGGTGGAAAGGAGTGGAAAGGAGTTGACCTACATTACCAGCTGTACATAAGGTTTTGCTTCAACACACACACAATTGGTCCTGCTTTGACTTAGTGCAACATCCCTCGTTCTTGCACTTCTTATTGGTGTTTCTTATTGGTTGACCTACATTACCAGCTGTACATAAGGTTTTGCTTCAACACACACACAGACTTGGTCCTGCTTTGACTTAGCGCAACATCCCTCGCTCTAGCACTTCTTATTGGTGTTACTTATTGGTTGACCTACATTACCAGCTGTACATAAGGTTTTGCTTCAACACACACACACACTTCGTCCTGCTTTGACTTAGCGCAACATCCCTCGTTCTAGCACTTCTTATTGGTGTTTCTTATTGGTTGACCTACATTACCAGCTGTACATAAGGTTTTGCTTCAACACACACACACAATTGGTCCTGCTTTGACTTAGCGCAACATCCTTCGTTCTAGCACTTCTTGTTGGTGTTTCTTATTGGTTGACCTACATTACCAGCTGTACATAAGGTTTTGCTTCAACACACACACACAATTGGTCCTGCTTTGACTTAGCGCAACATCCCTCGTTCTTGCACTTCTTGTTGGTATTTCTTATTGGTTGATCTACATTACCAGCTGTACATAAGGTTTTGCTTCAACACACACACAATTGGTCCTGCTTTGACTTAGCGCAACATCCCTTGTTCTAGCACTTCTTGTTGGTGTTTCTTATTGGTTGACCTACATTACCAGCTGTACATAAGGTTTTGCTTCAACACACACACACAATTGGTCCTGCTTTGACTTAGTGCAACATCCCTCGTTCTTGCACTTCTTGTTGGTGTTGCTTATTGGTTGATCTACATTACCAGCTGTACATAAGGTTTTGCTTCAACACACACACAATTGGTCCTGCTTTGACTTAGCGCAACATCCCTTGTTCTTGTACTTCTTGTTGGTGTTTCTTATTTATTTATTTATTTATTTATTTACTTATATACCGCTGTTCTCAGCCCGAAGGCGACTCACAGCGGTTCACAACAAATACGAACAGCAAAAATTCAGTGCTACAGTATAGAAACAGTTAACAACCTAACACATTACACAATTAATAAACAGTTACTACAATACCCATTCACTGTCGTCTCGTCATCAAAAACATGTTCCAGATTCGTCATCCATTGTTCCATTCCAGTGTTCATTAACCAATCATTGCACTAATTATTCGAACGCCTGCTCAAACAGCCAGGTCTTCACTTTTTTGCGGAATACCATTAGAGATGGTGCTAGTCTAATGTCCGTAGGAAGGGCGTTCCACAGCCGAGGAGCCACCACCGAGAAGGCCCTATCTCTCATCCCCGCCAGCCGTGCTTGAGAAGCAGGCGGGATTGAGAGCAGGGCCTCCCCGGAAGATCTCAAAGTCCTGGTGGGTTCATAGGCAGAGATGCGTTGGATAGGTAGCTTGGGCCGGAACCGTTTAGGGCTTTAAAGGCCAACGCCAGCACTTTGAATTGAGCCCGGTAGCAAATCGGTAGCCAGTGGAGTTGGCGCAACAGGGGGGTTGTATGCTCCTTGCGCTCCGCTCCTGTTAAAATCATGGCTGCCGAGCGTTGGACTAGTTGGAACTTCTGAGCCGTCTTCAAAGGCAACCCCACGTAGAGAGCGTTGCAGTAGTCTAAACGGGATGTAACCAGAGCATGGACTACCGTGGCCAAGTCAGACTTCCCAAGGTACGGGCGCAGCTGGCGCACAAGCTTTAGCTGTGCAAATGCTCCCCTGGTCACCGCCGAAACCTGGGGTTCCAGGCTCAGCGATGAGTCCAGGGTCACACCCAAGCTGCGAACCTGCGTCTTCAGGGGGAGTGTGGCCCCATCCAACACAGGCTGTAACCCTATGCCCTGTTCGGCCTTGCGACTGACCAGGAGTACCTCTGTCTTGTCTGGATTCAATTTCAATTTGTTCGCCCTCATCCAGACCGTCACAGCGGCCAAGCACCGGTTCAGGACCTGGACAGCCTCCTTAGTAGCAGGTGGAAAGGAGTGGAAAGGAGTTGACCTACATTACCAGCTGTACATAAGGTTTTGCTTCAACACACACACACAATTGGTCCTGCTTTGACTTAGTGCAACATTCCTTGTTCTTGCACTTCTTGTTGGTGTTTCTTATTGGTTGACCTACATTACCAGCTGTACGTAAGGTTTTGTTTCAACACACACACAATTGGTCCTGCTTTGACTTCTTGTTGGTGTTTCTTATTAGTCTTCTCTTCTCCTTCTTTTTAGGGGTAGTGGAAGCATGCCTTCTGCACATGCTCAAGCGCCGGGCGGCCGGCTTCTTGCGGACTGACAAGATCGCGGCCCTCTTCACCAAGGTTGGCAAGACATACGATGTGGCAAACGAGATCTGCCAGAAGGCGCAGGAGCTGCTGCAGCAGGTAGAAGGCAGGTGAGAGCAAGCATCCGTTGCCAAGAGAACTGTGAGACGGGGCCAGAATATTATTTTGCGTTGCCCCAGCTCCTTGTCTTCCTGATTCCAAAGCAGGGTCCTAGTCAGTAAACTGACTGCATCTCGCCCTTAAGAAAGAACCTCCAAAGAATATATGCCCATTTCCACCCTTTTTTTTCTTTTTTTTGCTTTTCCAGGTCAGCTAAAAGAAATTGGGAGAATATAAGCAGGAGGCTCAGCCGTCAGACAGCTTTTCCATCTCTGTTCAGGTTATTAGCTTAAGTCAAGTGAGGATAAGATGCGCATTCAATATTTTATTTTTCTGTCGTTTGGGGAATTCTAGGAAATAGGAACGTTCCTTTTGGTGGGCGCCTTCGATGGACTCTTTCTTTAGGTTTTGATGGACGATGACATCCATCATTCCCCATTGAGAATAATTTGACACCTCGGAGATCATAGAAGACTCTGTATTGTCGATGGCTTTCACGGCTGGAATCACTGGGTTGCTTTGAGTTTTCTGGGTTGTATGGCCATGTTCCAGAAGCATTCTCTCCTGATGTTTTGCCTGCATCTATGGCAAGCATCCTCAGAGGTTGTGAGGTCTGGGAAATGGGATTTGTATATCTGTGGAATGTCTAGGGAGGGAGAAAGAACTCTTGTCTGTTGGAGGTAGGTGTAAATGTTGCAACTGGCTAGCTTGATTCGCATTGAATGGCCTTGCAGCTTCAAACCCTGGCTGCTTCCTGCCTGGGGGGAATCCTTTGTTGGGAGGTGGGAGAAAGAACTCTTGTCTGTTGGAGCTAGGTGTGAATGTTGCAATTGACCACCTTGATTCGCATTGAATGGCCTTGCAGCTTCAAAGCCTGGCTGCTTCCTGCCTGGGGGAATTCTTTGTTGGGAGGTGGGAGAAAGAGCTCTTGTCTTTTGGTGGTAGGTGTGGATGTTGCAATTGGCCACCTTGATTCACATTGAATGGCCTTGCAGCATCAAAGCCTGGCTGCTTCCTGCCTGGGGGATTCCTTTGTTGAGAGGTGGGAGAAAGAATTCTTGTCTGTTGGAGCTAGGTGTGAATGTTTCAATTGGCCACCTTGATTAGCATTTAATGGCCTAGCAGTTTTCAAGGTGTGGCTTCTTACTGCCTGGGGGAATCCTTTGTTTTTATGTAGGTGCCTATCAGCATGTCTAGGCTTTCTGTAAACTGTGGGACCCAATTGTTGATCTGGTTTGTGGGTGACTAGGACACTTGAGCCCCAGATAGCACAGTGGGTTAAACTGCTGAGCTGCTGAACTTGTATACCAAAAGGTCAGGTTCGAATCCGGGGAGCGGTTTGAGCTCCTGCTGTTAGCCCCAGCTTCTGCCAACCTGGCAGTTCGAAAACATGCAAATGTGAGTAGACAAGAAACAATCAGGGACAGCTAATTACCTCTCAACAAAGGATTCCCCCAGGCAGTAAGAAGCCACGCCTTGAAAACTGCTAGGCCATTAAATGCTACTCAGCGTGGCCAATTGAAACATTTCCACCTACCTCCAACAGACAAGAGTTTTTTCTCCCACTTTGGACATTATTCCACAGATATATAAACCCAATTTTCCTAGTTTCCAACAGAGCTCACAACCTCTGAGGATGCCTGCCATAGATGCAGGCAAAACGTCAGGAGAGAATGCTTCTGCAGCATAGCCAGACAGCCTGAAAAACTCACAACATCCCATAGAAGACTCTGTTTGGGATTCCAACTCCCAGAAGCCCCAGCCAGCTTATTATTTATTTATGTATTTATTTACGACATTAATATGCCACACTTCTCACCCTGAAGGGGACTCAGAGCGATTTACAAGTAATATGTAAATACAATATATTATATTATTACCATAGCACAATAGATTGTTATATTGCACTACACCATTGTACTGTAATATTATTAGTAATATTACATATAATGTAAAATATATAATTATAATATCATATTATTAGTATTATATTGTATTACGTTATAATATTATCAATATTATATGTATATACAATATATTATACTATATTATACTAGCCGTCCCCTGCCACGCATCGCTGTGGCCCAGTCTGTGTATAAGTGTTTTGTGTGTGCATGTATGCATTTATGTGTGTGTATATATTTGTATATATGTGTGTTTGCATATATATTATGTGTGTGTGTGTGTGTGTGTATGGATATATATTTGTGTATTTGTGTGTTTGTGTGTATGTATATTGTGTATATGTGTGTGCTTGTCTATATGCATATTTGTGTGTATATATGTGTGCATGTATGTGTATATGTATAGGTGTGTACATATGTATATGTGTATATATGTGGGCATTTGTGTATAGATATAGATGTATATGTAAATATGTATATTTGTGTGTGCTTGTGCATATATATACGAGTGTGTGTGTATGAATGTGGTGGCATGTGTATATGTATATATGGTGTATTTTGGGTTTTTTTGGCATGTCTCATTAAGAGCCACATCCACTGTTTTAGCGTGGTGAGATGTGTTCCACACTGGGCATGCATACTCAGCAGCAGAGTAGCAAAGCGCAAGGGCAGTGTCTTCACTGTGTCTGGTTGTGATCCCCAGGTTGTGCCAGTCAGCTTTCTTATGATATTGTTTCTAGCACCCACTTTTTGCTTGATGTTCAGGCAGTGCTTCTTGTAGGTCTGGGCACGGTCCAGAGTGACTCCCAGGTATTTGGGTGTGCTGCAATCTTCCAGTGGGATTCCTTCCCAGGTGATCCTCAGAGCTCGGGATGCTTGTCTGTTCTTAAGGTGAAAAGCACATGACTGTGTTTTAGATGGATTAGGGATCAGCTGGTTTCCCCTGTAATAGGCAGTAAGAGCTTCAGAGAGCTTCTGTTCAACCATCTCCAAGCTCCCTGCTTGAGCGGTGATGGCACGATCATCAGCATAGATGAAACTCTCTGTCCCTTCTGGCAGTGGCTGGTCATTTGTGTAAATGTTGCACATGGATGGAGCAAGCACTCTCCCTGAGGGAGGCCGTTCTTCTGTTTCCGCCATCTGCTTCTCTGGCCCTGGAACTCAACAAAGAAGCTCCTGTTTCCTATGAGTTATGTTAATCCCAGAGAAGATAATTCAGAGTTATTATTTGTGTGCAAATGAGCTTTGTTCCTTGCTGGTTGTGTCTTTTCCACAAGGGAGCCCTTGTCGTCCCATATGGAACGGCTCTTAAATCAACCGTAAAGCTTTAACCGAGCCTTGTGCCAAAAGGAAGGAAAACACAGCCTGGAAAAAAGGCTCTGTTTGCTTGCCAGACGAGCACATTGGGAAGGAGATCCGATGCCCCAGAGGGCCGGATCAGGATCCAAAAGGACCTGAACAGATTGGAGAGCTGGGCCAAAACTCACAAAAATGAATGTCAACAGGGAGAAATGTACGGTACAACACTTTGGCAACAAAAATGAATGATGGAAGACAACTGCCTTGGAAACAGTCCGTGGGAAAGGGATCTAGGAGTCTTAGCAGACCACACGCTGTACATGAGCCAAGAGTGTGACATGGCAACTCAAAAAGCCAATGTGATTCTGGGCTCCATCAATAGGAGTCTGGTGTTTCGATTGAGGGAAATCATAGTCTTATTCCATTATGCTTTGGTCAGATCTCACATGCAAAACTGTGTCCTGTTTGGGGCTGGATGGCCATCTGTCGGGAGTGCTTTGAGTGTGTCTTCCTGCATGATAGAGTTGGCTTGGGCTGGATGACCCATTGGTCTCTTTCAACTCTGTGATGCTATGGTCTCCTTCCAAATATCTCAACATAGCCAACATAGCCACGGTGGCACAATGGGTTAAGCTGGAGCTGACAGATGGGAGCTGACCCTGTGTGGCAGATTCAAACCGTCGGCCTTCAGGCCCGCAATCCAGCTGGCACAAGAGTTAAACCCTTGTGCCAGCTGAACTGCGGGCCTGAAGGTCGGCGGTTCGAATCTGCCAGCCAGGGTGAGCTCCCGTCTGTCAGCTCCAGTTTCCCATCCAGGGACATGAGAGAAGCCTCCCACAGGATGGTAACATATCTGGGCGTCCCCTGGGCATCGTCTCTGCAGACGGCCAATTCTCTCACACCAGAAGCGACTTGCAGTTTCTTGAGTTGCTTCCGACACAATTTAAAAAAACAACATAGCCATCCTGTCCCCTTTTTGTTTTTACACACTATCTCTATTAAATCTTTAGATACAAGGCTTATGGTCAGTATATCTACTGATGAGTAATATTCCTATGAACAGTTGACTCTAATGCAATTGGTATAATTGGACTTGAGACACAAAGTTGAAGCCGTTTGTATTGATATTATGGCGGTGTTTATGTTCCCCAGCAAGAAGTACCAGCCGGCCGGCCAAGAGTCCCTGAAGAGGCAAAGCTCGGCCACAAGCAAAGCCCCCAGCCTCACCCCGCAAGCCGTCAAGCACATTTGGGTCCGCACCGCGTTGACAGAGAGGGTCCTCGACAAAATTGTGCAGTACATTGTGGACAATTGCAGGTAAGGAAGGGCTGCCAGCGAGGGTGCCAAGGTGCTAAGGCATTGAGCCATGGCTGGTCAAATGGGGTGAAAGGGCATCCGGCAGGCCCACCCAGTCAACAACAACAACAACAAACAATAACTATTACAATTATTATTATTATTATTATTATTATTATTATTATTATTATTATTATTAGAAACACAACAAGATGAGTCCACAGCAGACAAGATCACTCTGCTGGCTGTTGTATTGGATGACAATGATGACGATGATGATGATGATGATTATTAGAAACTCAACAAGATGAGTCCACAGCAGACAAGATCATTCTGCAGGCTGTTGTGTTGGATTATTATTATTATTATTGTATTGTTGAAGGCTTTCATGGCTGGAATCACTGGGTTGTTGTAGGTTTTCCGGGCTATATGGCCATGTTCTAGAGGCATTTTCTTCTGACGTTTCGCCTGCATCTATGGCAAGCATCCTCAGAGGTAGTGACCTCACTACCTCTGAGGATGTTTGCCCTAGATGCAGGCGAAACGTCAGGAGAGAATGCCTCTAGAACATGGCCATATAGCCCGGAAAAACCTACAACAACCCATTATTATTATTATTATTATTATTATTATTATTATTATTATTATTATTATTTGAAACACAAGATGAGTGCACAGCAGACACTCTGCTGGCTGTTGAATTGGATCACACGTCGGACACTTCCCAAGTGTCTAGGACTGTGTGATGTATCGGCAAATAATGCGTGCAGATCCCAGTAAGGTGGCCTGCAGCTGGCAGATGGTAATTTTGTCAGTGCCAATTGTGTTTAAGTGCAGGCCAAGGTCTTTAGGCACTGCACCCAGTGTGCCGATCACCACTGGGACCCCTTGACTGGCTTGTGCCAGAGTCCTTGCAGTTCGATCTTTAAATCCTCATATCATGTCAGATTTTCCAGTTGTTTCTCTTCTATCCTGCTATCACCTGGGATTGCGACATCGACAATCCATACTTAGTTTTTTAACACGATTGTGAGGTGAGGAGTATTGTGCTCCAAAACTCTGTCAGTCTGAATTCGGAAGTTACATTCAACCTTGTAGTTTAAGATCCACTGGGGAAGCCCTGATTTCGGTCCCACTGGCCTCGCAAATGCGTCTGGTGGAGACGAGGGACAGGGCCTTCTCGGTGGTGACCTCCCCGCTTGTGGAATTCGCTCCCCAATGAGATTAGATCGGCGTCCTCCCTCCTTTCCTTTAGGAAAAAACTAAAATCGTGGTTTTGGAACCAGGCTTTTGGCTAGCAGACGCAGCAGCACTTTAGACATGGAACTGGACCATACGACTGTTACGATAATTAGAAATGGCTATGTGATTACATAATTTTTAATCTTTCATGTGTTTATGGTTTTATGCTGTTGTTAATTGATATTGTGGCATCGAATTGCTGCCTGTGTTAGCCGCTCGTAGAAAAGTTGTAAATAAATAAATTATTATTATTATTATTATTATTATTATTATTATTATTATTATTATTTCCACAGTGTAGATGCAACCCAAAATTTTCCCAACTGGATGCACACCTGGACCATGTCCAAAGTTATGCTGCGAACCACAAAATATCTATCTATCCATCTATCTAGAGATGTCGGTGTGGTCCATCTCTCCTGATTTTTTTTTTTCCGAAGCAGAAAAATAGCTCTGGGTTGGAGGAATGACATCACTTATTCACTCTTCTCATACCGAGAATGGCTTTGGGAATGGCACCGGTGCCCCATCTAGCGGCTTTACGGCATCATCCCACCCTTTTCAAAGATCCAAACAGTGCATCTTTCCTAAACTTTGGGCAGACTCACATAATGTTCGCTGAGAGTGATCCTCTTTGAAAAATATTTTTATTAGATTCTCTGCAAATGAAATTTAAATCCAAATCTATATCTATCTATCTATCCACATAATAAAAGTGAAAATATGGAAGAGACCTCATGGGCTATCCAGTCCAACCCCCTGCCAAGAAGCAGGAATATTGCATTCAAATCACCCCTGACAGATGGCCATCCAGCCTCTGTTTAAAAGTTTCCAAAGAAGGAGCCTCCACCACACTCCAAGGCAGAGAGTTCCACTGCTGAACAGCGCTCACAGTCAAGAAGTTCTTCCTCGTGTTTAGATGGAATCTCCTTTCTTGTAGTTTGAAGCCATTGTTCCGCGTCCAATCTCCAAGGAAGTAGAAAACAAGTTTGCTCCCTCCTCCCTGTGGCTTCCTCTCACATATTTATACATGGCTATCATATCTCCTCTCAGCCTTCTCTTCTTCAGGCTAAACATGCCCAGCTCCTTGAGCCGCTCCTCATAGGGCTTGTTCTCCAAACCCTTGATCATTTTAGTCGCCCTCCTCTGGACACATTCCAGCTTGTCAATATCTCTCTTGAATTGTGGTGCCCAGAATTGGACACAATATTCCAGGTGTGGTCTAACCAAAGCGGAATAGAGCATGGGGAGCATGACTTCCCTAGATCTAGACACTATGTTCCTATTGATGAAGGCCAAAATCCCATTGGCTTTTTTTGCCGCCACATCACATTGTTGGCTCATGTTTAACTTGTTGTCCACGAGGACTCCCAGATCTTTTTCACACATACTGCTCTCAAGCCAGGTGTCACCCATTCTGTATCTTTGCATTTTGTTTTTTCTGCCTAAGTGGAGTATCTTGCATTTGTCGCCGTTGAACTTCATTTTGTTAGTTTTGGTCCATCTCTCTAGTCTGTCAAGATTGTTTTGAATCCTGCTCCTGTCCTCTGGAGTATTGGCTATCCCCCCCACTGCTCTTTGAATGTAGGTGAAATATAAATCCCAGCAACTACAACTCCCAAATGACAAAATCAATCCCCCCACCTCACCAGTATTCAAATTTGGGCGTATTGGGTATTTGTGCCAAATTTGGTCCAGTGAATGAAAATACATCCTGCATATCAGATATTTACATTACAATTCATAACAGTAGCAAAATTACTCTTATAAAGTAGCAACGAAAATAATTTTATGCTTGGGGGTCACCACAACACGTGGAACTGTATTAAGGGGTCGTGGCATTTGGAAGGAGGGCATTTTTAAAAATCCAACATGGTTAGCTGTTTTCACTTGCACTCCATTCACAATGACCTCTGTTTTGCTTTCCGAGGACAATGGCCCTGTTTTTGGATGCATTGTGGCACGTCTGTTGTTTTTCCTTTAGCATTGTTTTTGTTTGGTCTCTTCCAGCAAATATTATGAGAAAGAAGCTCTCTTGGCAGATCCGGTCTGTGGGCCCATCTTGGCATGCCTCCTGGGTAAGTATCTCTGGAAACACAGGTTGTGTGTGTGTGTGTTGTGACAGTCCCCACATGGCTTGTCAAAGACGTTTGCAGGAAATGTTGGATATGACTCAGGAATGCCACGCAATTTGAAAGAGGAGGACGGAAAGGAAGGGTGCGTCCCCACTGATTGACACCACTTGGGAGTTGTAGTTTGGTGAGACCCAAGAGAAGGCTAAAGTCCTTGCAAAACTACAACTCCCAGGATTCCATAGCACTGAGCCTGGGCAGGTGAAGCAGTGTCAAACTGCATTCATTCCACAGTGTAGATCCAACATATGGTTTGTAAGGCAGGAACAAGACTTTGCTGCGAATCCATGGAGGTTGTAAGCTACCCCTAACCAGTTTACCCAGACAGGGACAATGGTGGGTTGCTAAACCACAAATATGCCCATGTTACATTTTCATTTTTGGGTTGCTATAAGTTTTCTGGGCTGAAACCCACCATGTTGCGAGAGCTGGAGAGATACGTCAAGTCCTGCTTGCAGAAGAAGCAGTAGAAACCCTTTTGTAAGTGGAACGTTGAGCTGCTTACATCTTTCTCCCACTGAGGCCTTCTCACACTGAGGGCTCTCTCTTATGCCTCTCTCACACTGAGGTGAACTAACACTGAGGTCTTCTTATACTGACGCCTAGGAATGCTTCCCGAAGCATTCTCTCCTGACGTTGCGGAAACCCTTTAGCAAGTGGAACGTTGAGCTGCCGGGTTTGTTTACATCTTTCTCCCACTGAGGCCTTCTCACACTGAGGGCTTTCTCTGATGCCTCTCTTACACTGAGGTGAACGAACAGAGGTCTTCTTATACTGAGGCCTAGGAATGCTTCCCAAAGCATTCTCTCCTGACGTTGTGGAAACCCTTTTGTAAGTGGAACGCTGAGCTGCCGGGTTTGTTTACATCTTTCTCCCACTGAGGCCTTCTGACACTGAGGGCCCTCTCTGATGCCTCTCTCACACTGAGATGAACGACACTGAGGTCTTCTTATACTGACGCCTAGGAATGCTTCCCGAAGCATTCTCTCCTGACGTTGCGGAAACCCTTTTGTAAGTGGAACGCTGAGCTGCCGGGTCTGCTTACATCTTTCTCCCACCAAGGCCTTCTCACACTGAGGGCTCTCTCTGATACCTCTCTCACACTGAGGTGAACTAACACTGAGGCCTTCTTATACTGAGGCCTAGGAATGCTTCCCGAAGCATTCTCTCCTGACGTTGTGGAAACCCTTTTGTAAGTGGAACGTTGAGCTGCTGGGTTTGTTTACATCTTTCTCCCACTGAGGCCTTCTCACACTGAGGGCTCTCTCTGATGCCTCTCTCACACTGAGGTGAACGAACACTGAGGTCTTCTTATACTGAGGCCTAGGAATGCTTCCCAAAGCATTCTCTCCTGACGTTGTGGAAACCCTTTTGTAAGTGGAACGCTGAGCTGCCGGGTTTGTTTACATCTTTCTCCCACTGAGGCCTTCTCACACTGAGGGCCCTCTCTGATGCCTCTCTCACACTGAGGTGAACGAACACTGAGGTCTTCTTATACTGACGCCTAGGAATGCTTCCCGAAGCATTCTCTCCTGACGTTGTGGAAACCCTTTTGTAAGTGGAACGCTGAGCTGCCGGGTTTGCTTACATCTTTCTCCCACCAAGGCCTTCTCACACTGAGGGCTCTCTCTGATACCTCTCTCACACTGAGGTGAACTAACACTGAGGCCTTCTTATACTGAGGCCTAGGAATGCTTCCCGAAGCTTTCTCTTCTGACGTTGTGGAAACCCTTTTGTAAGTGGAACGTTGAGCTGCTGGGTTTGTTTACATCTTTCTCCCACTGAGGCCTTCTCACACTGAGGGCTCTCTCTGATGCCTCTCTCACACTGAGGTGAACGAACACTGAGGTCTTCTTATACTGAGGCCTTGGAATGCTTCCTGAAGAATTCTCTCCTGATGTTTCGCCTGCATCAATGGCAGGCATCCTCAGAGGTTGTGAGGTCTGTTGGAAACTAGGCAAGAGGGGTTTATATCCCTGTGGGATGATGTCCAGGGTGGGAGAATGAACTCTTGTCTATTGGAGGCAAGTGTGAATGTCGCAATTGACCACCTTGATTAGCAATTAATGGCTTTGCAGTGTCAAGGTCAGGCTGCTTCCTGCCTGGGGGAAGCTTTTACCTGGAGGTGATTATTTTCATTTCTGTTTTCAGTTGGACCTTGCGCCCTTGAATACACAAAGCTCAAAACCGCCGACCACTTCTGGACGGACCCTTCAGCAGATGAGTTGGTTCAACGGCATCGAATCCATGGCGCTCACGGCCGGCAAGACTCCCCCTCCAAACGTCCAGCGCTGGGAGTAAGTCCCTGACATCTCCTTAGAGTCAGTTTCATTTTCTAATATTGCCAGGCCCTCGAGGAATGCCACTATCCTGCTCCCTCCTCCCTATGACTTCCTCTCACATGGCCTTCATCATGTCTCCTCTCAGCCTTCTCTTCTTCAGGCTAAACATGTCCAGCTCTTTAAGCCGCTCCTCATAGGGCTTGTTCTCCAGACCCTTGATCATTTGAGCCGCCCTCCCCTGGACACATTCCAGCTTGTCAACATCTCTCTTCAGTTGTGGTGCCCAGAATTGGACACAATATTTCAGGTGTGGGGAGCATGACTTCCCTGGATATAGACACTACTTATTATTATTATTATTATTATTATTATTATTATTATTATTATTATTTGTACCCCACTTTTTCTGTCCACAAGGAGAGTCAAAGCGGCATTTAAATTCAATTTAAAATCTACACTTATATACAAATATTTTTATCTTATTCTCTGGGTTATGAGTCTGACTTATACATGACTATATATGTTGTTTTATTTATCATGTCAGAAGCGAATTTAGAGTATAGTTATAATTTTTAAAAAAAACATAGTTAAAAACTTGTCATTCATATTAAATGTTCTTTGACCAGAAGCTGGCCACTTGGAGTACTTTTGCTACTCCTTTGGTATCAGACACTGATTTTGGTTCTGGGTTTAACCTGCCACTTTTGGACTCTTGCTTGCTGAGGTGTTCCTGTGAGTATCTCTGTAGATCTTAGGAAACCTTTTCTTGATTTAAGTCATTGGCGTGCTGGCCGAACAGAGGATGGGCCGGAAGTGTCACCGCTTTTGTCCTTTCATTACTGGATGCTACTTCCCAGCGGATACCAGGTGGCACAATATTGGCTAAACAGTATAATTTTTCCAGTGGTGTAGGGCATAGCCATCCTGTAATAATGTGGCATGTCTCATTAAGAGCCATGTCCACTGTTTTAATGTGGTGAAATGTATTCCACACTGGACATGCGTATTCAGCATCAGTGTAATAATAATAATAATAATAATAATAATAATAATAATAATAATACGTATTCAGCACCAGTGTAATAATAATAACAACAACAAAACTTTATTTATATTCCACCCTTTTCACCCTGAAGGAGACTCAGGACGGATCACAGTTTACATACACGGCAAACATTGAATGCCGCCTTGTATAGACAATACGTACACAGACAGACCGAACAGAAGGAGGTGCCATGGAAGGTTGGGCTCGAGTCCAGGGGGTGCTGTTGCTCTTTCCTCTATGACGAAGAGCCGTCAGGACTTCCTTCTTTTTTTTGGTCGCTCAGCATTTTCGGATCTTTTTTTATGGCGTCGTAAAACACCTCCCCCGCTATTTAGTGGTACCTATTTTCTCTAATTACAGCTAGAGCTGTTTTCGACCACTTAGGTAAACAACGAGCTAGGCTGACAGTTGGCAGCACATGCCAACCTGGGGCTTCGAACTTGCAACCTTTTGTTTGACGGATCTTATAATTGCGGATGATTTACCAGCCGTGCTAAACCTCCGACCCTGTAGGAAAGTGCAAGGGCAGACATCTTCACTGTGTCTGGTTGTGATCCCCAGATTGTGCCAGTCAGCTTTCAGTATGATATTATTTCTAATGCCCACTTTCTGTTTGATAGTCAAGCAGTGCTTCTTATAGGTCAGAGCACAGTCCAGAGTTACTCCCAGGTATTTTGGTGTGCTGCAATGCTCCAGTGGTATTCCTTCCCAGGTAATCCTCAGAGCTCAAGATGCTTGTCTATTCTTAAGCACACTGTGAGGCACTCTAACTTGTGGCAAGGCAAAAGAGACCACTTATTTGTTTATCTAACCAGAAATGCAAAACGGTCAAGAAGGGGGCAGGCTGCCAGCCTGAGCAAATATGACACTCAGGAAAAAGAGATTGTTTAACTCTTCTTCCTCCTTTTATGACTTTTCAAGTTAGAGGTGATATATGGAGAGAGAGGCTTTGTTTGAAATTAAACCGTAACTTAGTTTATTTGTAGCATTCTTGTGGTAAAAGCGTAGTGGTTACAGAGGTTCAAATGCTTGCTGATTACAAAATAACGTTTCAATATGAGTTTCATTCAATCTTTCCTTTCTTCCCAAAAGGACTGTTATACTAGTACATAAAAACAGGTTTTGAACTATCTTTAACTTGTTGCTCTGATTTTCCAGCTGCTTCTCAGCTAACGTCCTCTCTCCCTCACTCTCCCTGACCAACCACACCAGAATGTTCGGTTGGACTTCTCCTTCCCTCTGCCATTTTTCATCCTTCCCTCTGCCATTTTTCAAATCCAACCACACCAGAATGTTCAGTTGGGTTTCTCCAACTGTCATCCTTACCTCTGCCATTTTTCAAATCCTGGCACCACTTATTTGTTTATCTAACCAGAAATGCAAAACGATCAAGAGGGGGCAGACTGCCAGCCTGAGCAAACATGACACTCAGGAAAAAGAGATTGTTTAACTCTTCTTCCTCCTTTTATGACTTCTCAAGTTAGAGGTGATATATGGAGAGAGAGGCTTTGTTTGAAATGAAACCATAACTTAGTTTATTTGTAGCATTCTTGTGGTAAAAGCATAGTGGTTACAGAGGTTCAAATGCTTGCTGATTACAGAAATGCAAAACGATCAAAAGGGGGCAGGCTGCCAGCCTGAGCAAATATGACACTCAGGAATAAGAGATTGTTTAACTCTTCTTCCTCTTTTTATGACTTCTCAAGTTAGAGGTGATATATGGAGAAATGAAACAGTAACTTAGTTTATTTGTAGCATTCTTGTGGTAAAAGCGTAGTGGTTACAAAGTTTCAAATGCTTGCTGATTACAAAATCCTAGCACCCGCTCATTTGCATCCGACCAATCCGGTCGCTTGCATGCAAATAACTTCCCCACTGGTGCTATTCTCTGGGCACCACAAAATGGCTGCTCACACGCCAGCCCTTTAAGGTAGGTCACTTCCTAACTTTCTAAGACGAGCCAAAGTCGCTACACATATGCATATGATGAATTAGGAATCAGCTGGTTTCCCCTGTAATAGGCAGTAAGAGCACCTAAAGCTTCAGAGAGCTTCTGTTCAACCCTTTCACAGCTCCCTGCTTGAGCAGCGATGGCATGATTGTCAGCATAAATGAAACTCTCTGTCCCATCTGGTAGTGTAAATATTGGTTGTTCTATTACATCTCCATACTGACATTAGATTCTTGTGTGTTCAGATCCGGAAACGGCACTCCAGCGGGAGCATGTCGGAGGACCGCTTTGCCGCTTCGGCCAGGGATTACGTGGAGTCGCTGCACCAGAACTCAAGGACGCATTTGCTCTATGGGAAGAACAATGTCATGGTCCAGCCAGTAAGTGTTTCACGATCCGGGGATGTCCCTAAACATTTCATCAAAGCATCTGGAGCTACTGGGGGTGGCTGGACGGGGGTTGATACTTCATCATCATTCACATATATAGCATTCCCTGCAGCAGATGCGTTGGCACATGGTTTGATCTTGCGTTTCACAATCAGTGACGTTTCAGAGTGGGAGGAAAACAACTTGGGGGTTTGATACATCACAGATTGCAATGCAAAGTGGGCTGGGCAAAGGGAATCCTCCCTCTCCCAAAATACTTTTCCCTTTGGCAAATTTAGACATAACTTTCATTCTTTTTAAGTCTCTTTTAAGGTTTTAACTGTTAATATTTAATGGTAATGTTTGTACGTATGTGTTTAGGTCTTTAATTGTTTTTTATTATTATTATTATTATTATTATTATTATTATTATTATTATTATTGGGAAGTGTCCAACATGTGATCCAATTCAACAGCCAGCAGAGTGTCTGCTGTGGACTCATCTTGTGTTTCAAATAATAATAATAATAATAATAATAAATAATTAATAATTAATAATTAATAATATTTATTTATACCCCGCCACCATCTCCCCGCCACCATCAATGGGGACTCGGGGTGGCTAACATGGGGCCGAGCCCATTAATACGTAACAGCAAAATACAGAACAACAAAAAATATCATCACAATAAAATAAATAAAAGCAAGCAAGCATACAAATAAACAAAAACAAAAAGTAAATGAAACAGGACAAAGTATCAAGGTGAAAAATCAATCACAAAGGGCAGGCCAAATGTACGACATAAAATGATAAAACACTGGAGACAGGAATATAACAAAATAAAATATAAAACAACAGAAAATTAAGCACAAAATTATTGTGAGCTGCTTGGAGAGACGAAGCAGGAAACAAAAGATCTCTCCATCCCATATATCCTTCCCTATAAATGGTCTCCTATTTGTGTTGTCGAAGTTTTTCCTGACTGGAATGACTGGGTTGCTGTGAGTTTTCCGAGCTCGATGAAGTTCCAGAAGCATTCTCTCCTGACGTTGAACCCACATCTATGGCAGGCATCCTCAGAGGTTGTGAGGTCTGTTGAAAACTAAGCAAGTGAAGTTTACATATCTGTGGAATAATGTCCAGGGTGGGAGGAAGAACTCTTGTCTGCTTGAAGCATGTGGGAATGTTGCAGTTGGCCACCTTGATTAACATTGAATGACCTTACAGCTTCAAAGCCTGGCTGCTTCCTGCCTGTGGGAATCCTTTGTTGGGAGGTGTTAGCTGGCCCTGATTGATTCTTGTCTGGAATTCCCGTTTTATTTATTTATTTATGACATTTATATCCCACCCTTCTCATTCTGAAAGGGACTCAGAGTGGCTTACAAGTAATATGTACATACAATATATTATATTATTCGCATAGCACAATATTGGTATTATATATTACTATATTGTACAATACCACTATACTGCAATATTATTAGTAATAATACATGTAATATTACTAATAATAGTGTAATGTAATATAATGTAAGTCACCTTGAGTCCTCTATGGGGTGAGACAGGTGAGGTAGAAAGGTTGTAAATAAATAATATATAATATGCAATTATTACATTCCATTATTAATATTATATTAGCATAGCACAATATTAGTTTTTTGAGTGTTGCTCTTTATTTACTGCCCTGATTTTAGAGCTTTTTAAATACTGGCAGTCAGATTTTGTTCATTTTCATGGTTTCCTCCTTTCTGTTGAAATTCTCGACAGGCTTGTGGATTTTAATGGCTTCTACGTTCGGTAGTTAGAGGGGTCTAGCATTTCTCTGTTCGCAAATCATGACAGCAAATAAAGAGTACCACTCAAAAAACGGGAATTCCAGACATGAAATACTCGAGGCCAGCTAACATCTCCCAATAAAGGAACATCCCAGGCAGGAAGCAGCCATGCTTTGAAGCTGCAAGGCCATTAAATGCGAATCAAGGTAGCCAATTGCAACATTCTCACAGCGTATTATTATTTGAGAACACAGAAATGCTGGACCACTCTCACAACCACCATGTCAGACTACACAGAGAAGCCACTGAAATCCACAAGAAGCATGTGGACAATTTCAACAGAAAGGAGGAAACCATGAAAATGAACAAAATCTGGCTATCAATATTTTAAAAACTCTAAAATCAGGACAGTAAATAAAGAGCAATACTCAGAAAAGATGGCCAGTTAACACCTCTCAACAAAGGATTCCCCCAGCCAGGAAGCATCCAGGCTTTGAAGCTGCAAGGCCATTAAATGCTAACCAAGGTGGCTAATTGCAACATTCACACTTGTCTCAAGTAGACAAGAGTTCTTTCTTTCACCCTGGACATCGTTCCACAGATATATAAACCTCCCTTATCTCTCTTCCAACAGACCTCACAACCTCCGATGATGCCTGATTTTAGAGTTTGGCATTATTAGCATTGAATGGCCTTGCAGCTTCAAAGCCTGGCTGGTTGCTGCCTGGGGGATCCTTTGTTGGGAGGTGGAAGAAAGAAAGCTTTTCTGTTGGAGCTAGGTGTGAATGTTGCAATTGGCTACCTCAATTCGCATTGAATGTTGCCATTGGTCACCCTAATTAGCATTGAATGGCCATTGCAGCTTCAAAGCCTGGCTGCTTCCTGCCTGGGGGAATCCTTTGTTGGGAGGTGGGAGAAAGAACTCTTGTCTGTTGGAGAGAGTGTGAATGTTGCAATTGGCCACCTTGATTAGCATTAAATGGCCTTGCGGTTCAAAGCCTGGCTGCTCCTGCCTGGGGATCCTTTGTTGGGAGGTGTGCTTTCTTTTGATTGTTTTATGTCTGGAATTCCCCTGTTTTTTGAGTGTTGCTCTATTTACAGCCCTTATTTTAGAAATTGGCCACCTTATTAGCATTGAATGGCCTTGCAGCTTCAAGGCCTGGCTGGTTGCTGCCGGATCCTTTGTTGGGAGGTGTTCGCTGGCCCTGATTGATTCTTGTCTGGTATTCCCCTGTTTTTTAAGTGTTGCCCTTGTATTTACTGTCCTGATTTTAGAGTTTGCCATTGATTAGCACTGAATGGCCTTGTAGCTTCAAAGCCTGATTGGTTCATTCATGCTAATTAGGGTGACCAGTGGCAACATTCACACATGCCTCCAGCAGACAAGAGTTCTTTCTCCCACCCTGGACATCATTCCACAGATATATAAACCCCACTTGCCTTGTTTCCAACAGTCCTCACAACCTCTGCCATAGATGCAGGTGAAACATCAGGAGAGAATGCTTTGGGAAGCATTTCTAGGCCTCAGTATAAGAAGACCTCAGTGTTAGTTCGCCTCAGTGTGAGAGAGGCATCAGAGAGAGCCCTCAGTGTGAGAAAGATGTAAACAAACCCGGCAGCTCAGCGTTCCGCTTACAACAGGGTTTCCGCTGCTTCTAATTTCTAATTTTTTAGATTAGATTTCTAATTTGGCACTTTTTGGCAGCAACGCACCTTGTAACTACAACTCCCATGATTCTATTGCATGAAATTCATGTCAAACTGCATCTGTTCTACAGTGTAGATCTGCCCATAGAATTGCAAGATTGACCTAATTTCAACTTCTTCCTCCTACACAAAGTTGTGTCAATGGGTGTCATTTGGAACGGAGTTTGAAGTGTGCCGATTTGCAAGGGTTTTCTTGATCATTTACGCGTGGCAAGTGTTGCAAGTGGGAGGATATCACTCATCCCATTAGCCGGGATCACGATTCCTTTTCCAGGCTGGAATATTAAGTCCAGTCTGACTGGAACGCATCGGAAGTAATGTGAGGAGCCGGACACCGATAAGCAGAATCGTTGGAAGACATGAGTCACACAACGGGATGGGGATGAGGCGATGAAAGGGGAGATGAGTCACCCATTGAGTGTGAGTCAATGAAAGAGAAGCAAAATGCCACTTGCGTTTACATCGAACCAGCCGCTGGGTCACGGAGACCCCGGCATTGGCATCTTAGTATTCACAGAGCCTTTCAAAGCTTGCTGGACACATTCCCGAAGCCTTGCTCTTCGGCAAGAAACACTGACATAGATAAGAGGTATATACGAGGGTTGAATGAAAAGTAATGCCTCCACCTTCGTTACTTTGGTTTGGATGGGAATATTTTAATAAATCAAACTAGAATGTGCTCTTTAACTACCGCTATTCCCTTGTCCACTGGCGCAATGGGTTAAAGTGCTGAGCTGCTGAGCTTGTTGACTGAAAGGTCACAGGTTCGATTCTGGGGAGCCGCGTGAGCCCTAGCTTCTGCCAACCTAGCAGTTCAAATCCTTTGTTGGGAGAAAGAACTCTTGTCTGTTGGAGCTAAGTGTGAATATTGCAATTTGCTACCTTGATTCACATTGAATGGCCTTGCAGCTTCAAAGCCTGGCTGCATCCTTCCTGGGGGAATCCTTTGTTGGGAGGTGGGAGAAAGAATTCTTGTCTGTTGGAGCTAGGTGTGAATGTTGCAATTGGCCACCTTGATTAGCATTGAATGGCCTAGCAGTTTTCAAGGTGTGGCTTTTCACCGCCTGGGGGAATCCTTTGTTTTTATGTAAGTATCTATCAGCGTGTGTAGGTTTTCTGTAAACTGTGCGACCCAATTGTTGATCTGGTTTGGGGGTAACTAGGACATCTGAGCCCTGGGTGGCGCAGTGGGTTAAACCACTGAGCTGCTGAACTTGTTTACCAAAAGGTTCGAATCCGGGGAGCGGCTTGAGCTCCTCCTGTTAGCCCTAGCTTCTGCCAACCTAGCAGTTTGAAAATGTGCAAATGTGAGTAGATCAATAGGTACTGCTCTGGCAGGAAGGTAAGGGCGCTCCATGCAGTCATGCCGGCCACATGACCTTGGAGGTGTCTATGGACAATGCCGGTTCTTCGGCTTAGAGTCGGACACAACTGGATTTCATGTCAGGGGAAAACTTTTACCTTTACCTATTCACTTTGCCACATAATCACCAGACAATTGGATACATTTCTGCCAACAATGAACGAGTTTTCTGAAGCCGTCACAGAAGAAGTCGTCACTCTGTTTCCGCAACCCATCGTGCACAGATCTTCCAATAGCCAAGCAAAGCAATAATGTGACCCACACGTTCCTCTGAAATGCCAATTATGCTTGAAATTTCTCTCTGAGTGATATGATGAGCGTCCTGAATCAATCTGTCAACCTTTTGCTTGTGAAACTCAGTGGTTGCTGTCACAGGACATCCAACTCTTTGTCATGCAAGTCAGATGTTCCCACCTCAACATCTTTAAACTTACTTGCCTAACGACGCACAGTACTCACATCAACACAATCACCATAAACAGCTTGCATTTTCTGATGAATCAATCACCTTCTGCTGTAAAGAATTCAGTGGCTCCACGTTGCTTAAGTCGCATTGACCGACTGTCTGTGCAGGGTTACATACTTCGCACTTTAACAACACAATCGTTCAATGCTAAGGCTTCCCGCCAAAATGAAACTGTAGAGGAGAGTCTACTGAACAAGCCAGTACCTGCTGCATACCAGTACTGCCATCTGTTGAGGAGTTACGAAGGTGGAGGCATTACTTTTCATTCAACCTTAGTATATAGGCCTTGTGCTTGTTTACATATTGGCAAACACAGAAAATAATGCAGTGAAAAGGCAACATATAATCATTACTGTAACTTGGGCCTAAATTTCCTAATTTCTACATGCAAGGGAAATAAGGTAAACAGCAGGAAGAAGGGAGCATCTTATGAATATAAATGTAAGAGAGTGGCCAGTTTGGATTGATTCAATTGGGATCTACAATCAGTTAGGACTCAAACAATGATGGATCTGGACCAAACTTGGCACGAATACTCAATATGCCCAAATGTGAACACTGGTGGAGTTTGGGGAAAATAGACCTTGACATTTTGGAGTTGTAGTTGCTGGGATTTATAGTTCACCTACAATCAAAGAGCTTTCTGAACTCTACCAAAGGAGGAATTGAACCTAACTTGGCGAAGAGAACTCCTATGACCAACAGAAAATACTGGGAGGGTTTGGTGGGCATTGACCTTGAATTTTGGAGTTGTAGTTCACCTACATCCGTAGAGCACTGTGGACTCAAACAATGATGGATCTGGACCAAACTTGGCACGGATACTCAATATACCCAAATGTAAACATTGGTGGAGTTTGGGGGAAATAGACCTTGACATTTGGAAGTTGTAGTTGTTGGGATTTATAGTTCACCTACAATCAAAGAGCATTCTGAACTCCACCAATGATAGAATTGGGCCAAACTTCCATAGCCAACAAAAAATACTATGTTTTCTGATGGTCTTTGGCGACCTCTCTGACACCCCCTTACGACCCCCCCCCCAAGGTTTCCTGACCCCCAGGTTGAGAAACACTGAGTTAGGATCTCAGACTTCTCCCAATTGAAAATGAAATATTTCAGAGCTAGATACTTGCTCAAACTTAAGCCTTAAAAATAGCCTTTTCTGAGGTGCGATGCCAAGTAATGCCTACTGCATTATAATAAAGTTCCATTGTAAAACTGATTCAGTATTTGTAATCAATGTCAGGCGGAAGACATTGTGCTTTGCATGTCAAATTGACCCCAGAGAACGGTTTCTGAAACCCTCGTTGACAAAATGAGAATTCTCTTGTGGAAATGGGTCAGTTTTTGTGGAGTGACTCTCAATAGATTTTATTTTGCTTTGGCTTCAAATAAAGGTCAGAAGCAGAGGCCTAGATAAAATCGCCAGGAGGACTCGAAGTGCTCATTTCATTTCCACCCCATTCCCCATTTATCTGTGATTTAGTGTTTTGATTCTTTGTGTGAGCACGATAACAACCTTTGTTTGGCGTCTTCTGCCCTTTTTATTTTAACTGTGAACATTCAGTTCTGAGCAGAATTAATTCTTTCTGTCATGGCCTCGGGCTAGGACAATAAACATTGCATTTTCTTTATCATCTCCAAATAGAAAGACGACATGGAAGTCATCCCGGGCTACCTCTCGCTTCACCAGACCGCCGACTCCTTGACACTCAAATGGACCCCCAACCAGCTCATGAACGGGACGCTGGGGGCTTCGGAGCTGGAGAAAAGGTGAGCCTCGTTTTCCTGTGAGGACAAGGCGAGGTGTGGGTAAGGTTCTGTTGCTGGAGCCAAAATTCATCTACTATCATACTGCAGAGTGCCAGAGATCCTGATCTGTTCTTCTCGGGAGCTTTGTGGACCCAAATGCAGGAAGCTTTTCACCAGTAATGCATGAGTCCCAATAGTGCATGAGCATCAAATAGTGCATGCTTGGGTACTGTAGTTAAAAGACACTATTAAATATTTCCAAGTCTTGATTGTTAAGAAATTCATGCTCTACTTGCAGGACAGTTATGTTGACTTCAGTGCAAGGAAGCTTTTAACCAAATTGCACGAGCCACTTTACAGTGCCTACTTGTTTAGGCACTGTAGTTAAAAAACTACATGCTTGAGCACTGTAGTTAACAAAAACACTATTAAATGTTCCGAGTCTTGATTGTTAAGAAATTCATGCTCTACTTGCAGGACAGTTTTGTTGACTTCAGTGCAAGGAAGCTTTTAACCAAATTGCACGAGCCACTTTACAGTGCCTACTTGCTTAGGCACTGTAATTAAAAAACTACATGCTTGGGCACTGTAGTTAACAAAAACACTATTAAATTTTCCAAGTCTTGATTGTTAAGAAACTAATGCTCTACTTGCAGGACAGTTGTGTTGACTTCAGTGCAAGAAAGCTTTTAACCAAATTGCACGAGCCACCTTACAGTGCCTACTTGTTTAGGCACTGTAGTTAAAAAACACTATTAAATTTTCCAAGTCTTGATTGTTAAGAAATTCATGCTCTACTTGCAGGACAGTTTTGTGGACTTCAGTGCAAGGAAGCTTTTAACCAAATTGCACGAACCACTTTACAGTGCCTATTTGCTTGGGCACTGTAGTTAAAAAACTACATGCTTGGGCGCTGTAGTTAAAAAACACTATTAAATTTTCCGAGTCTTGATTGTTAAGAAATTCATGCTCTACTTGCAGGACAGTTTTGTTGACTTCAGTGCAAGGAAGCTTTTAACCAAATTGCACGAGCCACTACTTGGTCTCTAAAATAGGGACCTGTTCAAAGGCAGTCAGTCTTGTATTATGGGCATAATACAGAGTTGGTTTGCTGTGAGGTTTTCAGGCTGTATGGCAATGTTCCAGAAGCATTCTCTCCTGACATTTTGCCTCACAACTACTGAGGATGCCTGCCATAGATGTGGGTGAAATGTCAGAAAAGAATGTTGGGCAAGTGGGCTTATTAACAAAAGACCCTCCTCATAAATAATAATATAATAAATAATACAATGAACTTTATTTGTACCCCGCCGCAATCTCCTCAAAGGGGACTCGGAGTGGCTTGCATGAGGCCAAGCCCAGCTATATACTACAGCAACATAAAATATAAACAACAAAATAACAACATAGTAGAATAAATAAACCAATCAAGTAAAATAAACAGTACAAAATAACATAATGGAAAATAAAACACAGTGGGCGGGTCAAATGCACAACATAAAATGATAAAACTCTGGATGAGATAGGAATGAAAAGGTACATTTGTGGTGGAGGAATAACTTAAGTAACTTAAGTAACTTATTAGCAGCAGCGTAACTATATCACCAGTAGTGAAAAGTGATAAAAAGAGCAAAAACACACAGACCAATCCATAAGAGGCTTTTCTTTATAGCAAAATAATATGGTTGCATGATTTACAAAAACAAGGTTTTCATAACACAAATAAAGTTCTTTATACTTCCTCCTTTGCATCCACGCTGGGCTTCTTTCTCATGCAGATAAACAACTTCACTCTCACAGAGCCTCCTCTCACACCGAAATTACTCAGGAGCTTCACATAGCAGCTTTACACACAGCTTTACACACGAGGCCTTCAACCTGGGGCTTCTCTCACCAAAGCTTCTCTCACCAAGCCTTCCTCATACTGTGGCATTTTCTCACACTGAGGCCTACCTCACACTGTGAGACCTTCTCTCACAAACTAAAGCCTACTTCACACTGTGAGGCCCTCTCTCACGGACTAAAGCCTACCTCACACTGTGAGGCCTTCTCACAGACAGAAACCTTTCTCCCACTGAGGTTTACCTCAGACTGATGGCTACTAAGCTACAGACACACCTGCTTATATAGAACTGCAGCTTTTGCTGAGTTATTGCATCCATTTAAGGGTATTTTTGGCTCTTCGATCTGAGAGGACCTTTAATAACATTTCCTTTCTTTCCCTGTTTCCAGCATCTACTGGGACTACGCCCTGATCGTGCCCTTCAGCCAAATCGTCTGCATCCACTGCCATCAACAACGTAAGCCTTTCAGCATTTAGCCATTTTTTCTAATCTATCGCTTAAAATATATTTCCAATAGCTATTTTCTTCATAAGCCCACCCCTATATTCTCCAGTATTTTCAGGCCCCATTGTTACTCTCCTAAAAATACCCTTCAGAAGGGATACTTGAAGGGGCTATACTGTCACGCTATCATTTTTGAAAATTTCCTCCTGCAGCGGAACGTGGGGGCACCTTGGTGCTTGTGAGCCAAGATGGCATCCAGAGACCTCCGCTTCATTTCCCACCTGGAGGGCACCTTCTTGCGTTCCTCTCTTGCCTTGAAAATGGCCTCTTGCCTCGGGGACAACTGGAACCTCCATTGTGGTCCCAACAGGGAAAGGTAAGGCCACCAAATTTGGCATATGGACCTTTTGGACACAGTCGGATCATCGTTCCCATTATCCCTGGCCACCATTTATGGTAGCTGGAAAGCAGCCGCCTGCCCGGATATCTGGATACTAGGCATGGTTATGTTCGGTTGGAATCTTCGTATTTCGGAACAAATTTGGAAAGATTTGCTTTTTGAAGTGATTTTGAAGTTTTTAAGGAAACCGGAAGTCCCTTTGCCCTTCCGAAGCTTTTTCTGCCATTTCTGTTACAAAGCAGTAAGTGAGACGGAAATGATTCAGCGTTTCCCCACTTCTGGTCCCTGTCCTCGGCTCAAGCCTGGGAAGCATTTTAAAGCAGAGTGGATGAATTTCCTCCCTCTCCTCTCCCCTTGCTTTTGTCTCAAGCCTGGGAAGCATTTTAAAGCAGAATGGATGAATTTCCTCCCTCTCCTCTCCCCTCACTTCTGTCTCAAGCCTGGGAAGCGATTTAAACCAAAGTGGATGAATTTCTTCTCTCTCCTCTCCCCTAGCTTCTGTCTCGAGCCTGAGAAGCGTTTTAAACCAGAGTGGATGAATTTACTCCCTCTCCTCTCCCCTAGCTTCTGTCTCCAGCCTGGGAAGCATTTTAAACCAGAGTGGATGAATTTACTCCCTCTTCTCTCCCCTCGCTTCTGTCTCGAGCCTGGGGAAGTGTTTTAAACCAGAGTGGATGAATTTCCTCCTTCTCCTCTCTCCTCGCTTCTGTCTTGAGCCTGGGAAGCGTTTTAAACCAGAGTGGATGAATTTCCTCCCTCTCCTCTCCCCTCACTTTTGTCTCGAGCCTGGGAAGTGTTATAAACCAGAGTGGATGAATTTTCTCCCTCTCCTCTCCCTTCGCTTTTGTCTCGAGCCTGGGAGGCGTTTTAAACCAGAGTGGATGAATTTCCTCCTTTTGTTTTCCCCCACCCCCTGCTTCTGGAGTAAAACAACTACTTTCAAAGTAAAGACCACCCAATGAAACAGGAAATAACACTTTCAAACCATTAAGGAAGGATTTGGAAGTCTCGGAAGTTTCAAAAAGTTTTGAACTTTTTTTTCTGTGAAAATCAGGAGGAGGTTAGAATCGAACCACCAGCACCCCTACATCCGAAACTGAGCCACAGCCACTGCTGTAACTCAGTACCATGTAATCATGTGAATTGTAGTTTGGTGACAGTCCCCAGGGCTAGTTCAACTACATCCAAGAGTATTGAGAGATGAGATACAACAGTAGGTTCTTGTGGCTTTTTTCGGGCTATAGGGCCATGTTCTAGAGGCATTTCTCCTGATGTTCCGCCTGCATCTATGGCATGTAAAGATCCCTTACCTTTCCAGCCTGGGTGGCAGGGCCTAGGAGAAGCAGGCCAGTTAGTTACAGCTTTAGAAGGCCTGGCAGAGGGCAGCAGGAGCCATTTTAGTTTAGGGAAAGCACCATTTCAGAGAGGGGGAGTGGCCTAGGCCTGAGACAGCCTTAGAACAGCCAGGATTGGTTTATTAAAGGGGGGCAGAGTTAGACTGTTTGGAGGGAAAGAAGGAGGCTTTTTCAGTCAGTCTGTTGCTGTTAGAGATTAGAGTAGGAAGGCAGTTTAGGAGTTCGTGTTTTGAGATTAGTTCAGAGAAGGCAGTTTGCCTTAGGTTTGCCAGCAAAAGAAGCTGTAGCAAACTGGTATAGCTATTTAGGGAGAAATAGCTGGTTTTGTAGTTAGCTAGGCCACAGTTGAGGGTAGCTAAGCTACAGTTGTATCTTGACAGAGATTCAGATCCTGTCAAGTATACTTGTTGTTAAAGAGCAGAAAATCTCTGTATTTGTAACAAAGAAAGAACCATTGACTTGTAACCATTACGCTTTAAAGACAAGAACATTTTCTCTGTAACAGCCAAGCTTATTAAACAGCATTCACTTCTCTGTATTCTCATCAATAAACTTTCCTTGTTTATTTTAAAACTCAAAAAGCCTGAGTCCAGTGTGCCTTTGTGGCTATAGTTCTTTTCAATCAACCTCAACTTGTTTTCCTTTAAAGAAGCACATAAGAAGCCTTTTAAAAGACACAGTGCTTGGTGGTCTTATAAAGCATTTTTAGTATTTTAAAACAGCTAGAGTGTTCCTGTACATTTGGTTATGGTGGCAGCGGAAGTTAAATAGAGAGACATTCCCTCATAACATTTATATTGGTGCCCGTGGTGTGAATTCTTTATTATTGGAGGGACAGTTGGAGGGATCTGCGTTACCCCCTGTCCAGATATTGTTTGGCCACACGACGTGCCTTTATAGCAAGCATCCTCAGAGGTAGTAAAACATCAGGAGAAATGCCTCTAGAACATGGCCCTATAGCTCGAAAAAACCCACAAGAACCTAGTGATTCCAGCCATGAAGGCCTTCGACAATACATAGTACAACAGTAGTTGCAAGTGATTCAAAAGACGGCTTTGTAAGAGCTTATTTATTTATTTTGCATCAAAAGCATTGCAGAACAGACAACCACATCTGTATGCTTGTCCGCTATACCCTGCCTCATGTACAGAAGAGGAATGTTTGGAGGCTACAGACAATGCTGTTGCTGTTGCCCGTTTTTGGTCAAAATTATTTAGCCGCCTGCGTGCCTTCTATTTTTATCAATTTTATACTAATTTATGCAATGCTTTTGATACGAAATAAATAAAACTTATTGGGAATGGAGAGTTGGGGAGTGCTCCTTTAATTGAAGGAGAAATACTGGAGGGAAAGGGGAGCGTCGGATAAGAGCGTCGGATAAGACAGACTGTCGGATAAGCGAAGGTCGGATAGGCGAGACTCTGCCGTATATCAGGAGGGGGAGGACTGAGCGTGTCGACCGGAAAACGTATGCTTGTTGTCTTGCATCCTTTCTGACTGCTCCGCTTGTCTCGCAGGGCAAAGTCTTTCCCAAGCTTCGCAAGCGCAACAGCTACAACCGGTCTGTGGACTTGGACGAAATGCCAGCCATGGCGGAGATGGCGGCCGATTACGTTTTCAGGATCATTTACCCCGGCCACAAGCACAGCGACAGTAAGACCCTCCGCTTTTTGCTTTTTCGCCCAGCGGGGTGGTGGGAAGAAACATTGGGAAATATTTCTGAATTTGATAAGAAATTCAGAAATAGTTATTAGAGAGGGTTCGTTATTTTATTCGCGAATTCGACAAATATTTATGAGTTTGTTTGTGTTATTTCTTGGTGCGTTTTAATACATACCTGTGTAGTTATGTCATATGATAATTCCTTCTATTGAATTTAATAATATTGTACCGAAAACATCAAACAAGCAAAGCCGTGGCTAAAGTCGTCCCGCATCTTAGTCTGGATGCGAAATGAGTTTTTTTGGCCTACTTTTATTGTGATGGACTCCTTCCGATCCATGTCAGCGGGACCTCCTTCTTCCCTTTGCCTCCAAACATGTCCTTTTAAGCTTTGATTGTAGACCCCGGCACCCGTTTTTGTTTTCTTATGCTCCTCTTTCACTATTTTCTTTGAGCAGTAACTATTAACTACCACCACTTAGCTGCCAGCCGCTCTGCCTCTGTCGACGATGACGAGGAGGAAGAAGATAAGCTGCACGCAATGCTATCCATGATCTGCAATCGGAACCTCACAGATCCTAAAAGGATGAAAGGTTTTTATCCCTCGCCTCCCCGCCTCCCCCTCACGCCGCCTCCACCCCCGCCCCACGGCCCCATTGGCGCAACAAGCACACCGCGTACAACAGTGTTGGTATTACTCTCACATCCATGGACTACCGTTGTCCCTCCGTTGGCGGGTTTGACTTTGGAGGATTATTATTAAAAATAATTAATATTGGGCAATTGGGATTATTAAGAAAAGACCCTCCTCATATATGTACAGTAGAGTAACTTATTAGCAGCAGCATTATCCAGTTCTTTATACTTCCTTCTTTGCTTCCACACTGGGCTTCTTTCTTATGCAGATAAACAGCTTCTAGCTTCGCTCTCACAGAGCCTCTTCTCACACCAAACTTTCATATGAGCTTCACACAGTAGCTTTACACACAGCTTTACACAGGAGGCCTTCAACCTGGAACTTCTCTCACCAAAGCTTCTCACACCAAGCCTTCTCACACTCGGCCTTCTCATAGACTAAGGCCTACCTTACACTATGAGGCCTACCTCACCCAGAGGCATATATCACAGACTAAAGCCTACTTCACACTGTGAGGCCTTCTCACAGACTAAGGCTTACCTCACACTGTGAGACCTTCTCACAGACTAAGGCCTACCTCACACTGTGAGGCCTTCTCACAGACTAAGACCTACCTCACACTATGAGGCCTAGCTCACATAGAGGTTTCTCTCACAGACTAAAGCCTACCTCACACTGTGAGGCCTTCTCACAGACTAAGGCCTACTTCACACTGTGAGGCCTTCTCACAGTCTAAGGCCTACCTCACATGGAGGCTTCTCTCACAGACAAAAGCCTACCTCATACTGTGAGGCCTTCTCACAGACTAAGGCCTACCTCAAACTGTGATGCCTTTTCACAGACTAAGACCTACTTCACACTGTGAGGCCTACCTCACATAGAGCCTTCTCTCACATACTAAAGCCTACCTCACACTGTGAGGACTTCTCACAGACTAAGGCCTACCTCACATAGAGGCTTCTTTCACAGACTAAGGCCTACCTCACTGTGAGGCCTTCTCACAGTAAGGCCTACCTCCCACTGTGAGGCCTACCTCACATAGAGGTTTTCTCACAAACTAARGCCTASCTCACACTGWGAGGCCTTCTYACAGACTAAGRCCTACCTCACACTGTGAGRCCTACYTCACACTGTGAGACCTACCTCACACTGTGAGGCTTCTYTCACAGACTAAGGCCTACCTCACACTGTGAGGCCTTCTCACAAACTTAGGCCTACCTCACACTGTGAGGCCTTYTCACAGACTAAGGCCTACCTCACACTGTGAGGCCTACCTCACATAGAGGCTTCTCTCACAGACTAAGCCTACCTCACACTGTGAGGCCTTCTCACAAACTAAGGCCTACCTCACACTGTGAGGCCTTCTCTCACGGAGGCTTCTCTCGCAGACTGAGGCTTCCTTCACACTATGATAGTGGTCCAACTCACTGTGCTAATGCTACCACTGTGCTCATGGGATGACCTAAAGTATTGAGTTATACAATTGAACTCTTTTAGAGGATCTGTTCTCATTGGGACTAACCACTGGATGTAGTGTTATTTTTAATAGTGATAGAGATATTGAAGGCCTCCTGGTGGCTCAGCAGGTTAAACCTGTTAGGAATCAAGAGCTGTTAGGCTCAAAAATAACCCGAACTTGGGGTGATCCACAAAAGGAGGAATCCCTCGTTCTAATCTATCTAGGCTAACTACTCATTGAGGGCTAGAGACTTGTGCAGTCAGAGATGGAACTCAACAAAATTGCTGAGTTGCTGGACAATTCAAATCCGGGGAGTGGGGTGAGCTCCTGCTGTTAGGCCCAGTTTCTGCCAACCCAGCAGTTTGAAAATATGCACATTTCAGTAGATCAATAGATACTTCTTCTTCAGGGCGGTGACAGCGCTCCATGCAGTCATGCTGTCCACATTACCTTGGAGGTGTCTAGGGACAACACCGGCTCTTCGACTTAGAAATGGAGATGAGCACCAACCCCCAGAGCTGGACACGACTAGACTTAATGTCAGGGGAAAACTTTTACCTTTACCGTAGAGATATTGAAGAGAGCAACAAGAGTTGAAAAAGCTGTCATAGAATCATAGAGTTGGAAGAGACCTCCAGGGCAGAGAGTTCCACTGCTAAACATAGAATCAAAGAGGTGGAAGAGACCTCATGGGTCACCCAGTCCAACCCCATTCTGCCAAGAAGCAGGAAAATTGTATTCAAAGCACCCCCAACAGATGGCCATCCAGCTTCTGTTTGAAAGCCTCCAAAGAAGGAGCCTCCACCACACTCCAGGACAGAGAGTTCCACTGCTGAACGGCTCTCACAGTCAGGAAGTTCTTCCTAACGTTCAGATGGAATCTCCTTTCTTGTAGTTTGAAGCCATGGCTCCATTGCTCCCTCCTCCCTATGACTTCCTCTCACATATTTATACATGGCTATCATGTCTCCTCTCAGCCTTCTCTTCTGCAGGCTAAACATGCCCAGCTCTTTAAGCCGCTCCTCATAGGGCTTGTTCTCCAGACCCTTGATCATTTGAGTCGCACTCCTCTGGACACATTCCAGCTTGTCAATATCTCTCTTCAGTTGTGGTGCCCAGAATTGGACACAATACTCCAGGTGTGGTCTAACCAAGGCAGAATAGATCACGGGGAGCAGGACTTCCCAGGATCTAGAATGAGTAAATATTAAAAAGTCAAAGTTATAAACTCAAAACACTTGCATAATGTGGTGATATTTTTAGAAGATCCTTGTGCACAAGTGGGCGTTTGAAATATCAGCTGAATTTGGATTTAAAATTAATTAATCAGCAGCTAAGAATACGATAAGTGAAGCAAAACTGTTGTAGTGAGAAAGTGGGGTTTGGGCTTCGTGGGAGGCGATATTTCTGCTCAAAATGTCAAGTTATTTAAAGACGGCGCTGAGAAAGCATGGAAAGAGATTAGAAGAACACATTTGCATTGAGGAACAAATTACAACTCTCCCTTACGGGCAGAATCTCTGTTAAGAGTGCTTTTTTGATGACGCCCTGGGTCTGAAACAATGGTTCCCAACTTGACTGGGGTCCAATTTGTCCAGGGGCCACTCTCCAACATTAGTACCCAAAGGGTTATGAATTAGTTTTTGGTCAACTTTAGATTCGGTTTGATTTCTTGGGGGTGCTGATTCAGGAAATTGCATTGGACAGACCATATCAGCTCTAGTTTCTAATCCTTACTTACTTAGACGATCCCTCGTTGTCCAAGTAGGATAGTCTTCCAGGGTGGGTCCGTAGGTGACTGTGGAGCCCTATTCTTGACCTGCATCTTCTCCCACAGTGAGGACATCGGTTTCCAGGTGGAAGTCGGTCTCGGTTGGGATTGGCTTGATGCGCCTTCCTTTTGGCATGTTTCTCTCTTTCGCCCTCCATTCATGCCTCTTCAAATTCTACAGCACTGCTGGTCACAGCTGACCTCTGGCTGCAGCGCTCAAGGGCCAGGGCTTCCCAGTTCTCAGTGTTTATGTCAGAGTTTTTAAGGTTGGCTTTGAGCCCATCTTTCAATTTCTTTTCCTGCCCACAAACATTCCATTTTCAGTTCTTGAGTTTGGAGTAGAGCAACTGCCTTGGAAGACTAGTTGGGCATCCAGACAACATGGCAGGTCCAGCGGAGTTGATGGCAGAGGATCATCGCTTCAATGCTGGTGGTCTTTGCTTCTTCCAGCACATTGACGTTTTTCTGCTTGTCTTCCCAAGAGATTTGCAGGATTTTTTGGAGGCAGCGCTGATAGAATCGTTCCAGGAGTTGCATGTGACGTCTGTAGACAGTCCACGTTTCGCAGGGTTGAGAGGACAATAGCTTTATAAGCAAGCACCTTGGTATCCCTACGGATGTCCCGGTCCTCAAACACTCTCTGCTTCATTCAGAAAAATGCTGCACTCGCAGAGTTCAGGCAGTGTTGTATTTCAGTGTCAATGTTGACTTTTGTGGAGAGGTGGCTGCCAAGGTAGTGGAAATGATCAACATTTTCTAATGTTACACCATTAAGTTGTATCTCTGGCATTGGAGAGGGATTGGCTGGTGACTGCTGGAAGAGCACTTTGGTTTTCTCAATGTTCAATGACAGACTGAGCTTCTCGTATGCTTCTGCGAAGGTATTTAGAGTGGCTTGTAGGTCTTCTTCTGAATGCGCACAGACGACGTTGTCATCAGCATATTGGAGTTCTATAACAGATGTAGTTGTAACGTTGGTTTTGGCTTTCAGTCTGCTGAGGTTAAATAGCTTGCCATCTGTCTCTAATCCAGAACATATGCCATCCAGTGATAATCTAGAGCTGATACAGTAGTAGTAATCTTTCGTGGGTTGTCAGCCCCTCCCGGCCCGACATCCCATTTGCCTTGGTACTATCAGAGAGTTTTGCAAGACCAGTTACTCTAGTTGCTGCGTGGTTTCGAGGTAATGGTGTAATAATGGTGAGGCTGCGGACCATATTTTCTTTCTTGTGGACCACTGGTAGTCCATGGACCACAGGTTGGGAACCATTGGCATAGAATGGATGAACTAATTACAACTCTCCGTTATGGGCAGAATCTCTGTTACCCTGTTTCCCCAAAAATATATTAAATTTTCCTCCCAAAGATGCTCTAGGTCTTATTTTCAGGGGATGTCTTATTTTTCCATGAAGAAGAATTCACATTTATTGTTGAACAAAAAAATGTGAACATTTCGTATTTACCGTACAGTAGTCGTCATCACAAACTTTAGACCCTTCAGCAGAAAAGCAGATACCCCCTAAAGAATAAAAGTGACACACTGGTTGCCTGACACAGGGGCACAAACAATAAGGGCTGTAATGTTCCCTATTTATTTATTTCATATCAAAAGCATTGCATAAATTAGTATAAAACTGATCAAAATAGAAGGAGCACAGGTGGCTAAATATCTTTTGACCAAAAATGGGCAACAGCAACGGCATGGTCTGTAGCCTCCAACAATTCC